TTTCTTACTCTTTTCACTGCTACTTCTTCCTTTTGTTCCTTTAGGACGTCTTCATTGACCGACTTGACAACTATGTTCATTCCCACAGGAAAACGTTTTGATTCTAGMGAAAAAACAACTCAGTACGATCTCCTGTAGACATATGTCCCTCAAGAACTCACTATCAGTTAAGTCTGGCTAGATCAAGAAAACAGACAGAACAGACAGAAAACAGACACCAATAGAATATGATGAGGAGGGCAAATCTRTTAATAACTCATCACGGATCGAGTTATATTGTTGCAGAGTGCTATGCTTTTTACAGTTGGTCCCCGCAATGGTAAGCGAATCACTATTCAAGATAAAACGTAAGATCAACCCGAGTCGACTTTGCTTGGAGAGATTACAGACGAATGCGCAGTACATAGTTTAGTGTCCATATAGACTGACAAAAAATATGGTTATAAATTATTTCTTACCTGATTCCATGATCTTACCACTAAAGGCAAACCTCCATCGWCCTTCACCAATTTCACCATAAACGCGAATACGAACGAGTGACAGATGCACCCAGACTCCTTCCCATTCATCATTAATTACGTACTCATAGACATCTCCAAGAAAATCTGTAAAAGCGTCAAGTTATAACATTTAGCTGAGTACTGAAAACAGTCAAGTCCCTCTATAGCGGCTCTCTATAGCTTGCAAGTTTCTATGGCAACATCTGGCCTTTCTCCAAGGTAACTGCTTCATAGAGGTTTGACCGTACTGTGGTACTGTTTCTACTGTAGGACCGCACGAAGGCAGAGCTACAAAATAACTGGTGCTATAGGCGAACTTGAAGGCAAGCATCCTTTCTCATTTTGGAAAGCAATATCTCCTGCTTGGTATGAAACAATCAAAAGCATTAAACTGAACTGAAATCTAAAAACATATCCATAGCTTACCTCTTATGTAATAGCCAGCAGCTCCCAACATTTTCAGTTTCTTTCTGTTGACTGAATACATCTACGTTATCTACGGTATGAAGTGCGGATCCAGGATAGGAGGGAGGGGGAGGGGGGCAGGGTTCGAACTTTGATTTTTAGAACAAGAAAATTCTAAAAATCTAAATCCATARAATTCTACCTAGCTTACCTTGGGCTGTTGGTATACTATTTTCTAGTTTTTCAGGATRGTAGTTTTCATCTGGACCACCGTAGTGAGTCTTTTCGTTGAGCTGTTGTGATTTAATTTGCTCAGTTTCTTTTCTGAAATAATAAAGGGCAACTTCAMACAATAGTACGAAACGGGCTACCTTTATGTTCAATACAAAGATCAATTCTCCTTTGTTAATTTCTATATTGATTTATAAATTACCCTATTTCTTCTACGACGACTTTATTTTGCTTGATATCGTACTGAAAGGAGAAAAAACAACAAAGAACACGGCGATGTATATTTTCCTGTGCTTTCCTGTTTATATTTTGATAAAGGTACATTCAGGGAGAGTTATACTACTTCATAAGCAATACCCAATAGTCCAAACCTATCTAATGTATATACTTACCATTCGATGAAGGGGACATTTACCAGTAAGTGTATCACATTTTTCTTAGAAAGCAGAGCAGATAATGAATAATGATGACTTCCAAAAAACTTTGGCTTTTTTATATATTTTTCTTTTTTTTTTCAGTCCAAGCTTGAATACGACAAGCATATCTCTTCTGCCGTAATGTTGTCAATTATAAGCGCAAATTTAAATAAAAKGTTGGAGTTTCAAAACATACTCTTTACAAAATAATCCGTCATCATATTACCTTACATGTAATATAATCGATCGATATCAAATCCAAGCGCAAAATGCATACGAAGGCAAATTTATAAGCATTACCTTTCTTATGTTACTCGTACCTTTTTGAACTTGCTCAGCCTCTGCTTGAAGTACTCCTGACGTGTTCAAGAGATTCACTAGGAACAGTGGATAAAATAAACTTCGCATCATAACAAAATTGATGTTCGGAAAAAAACTATTTATGAAAATGTTTGCAAACTATTTTGTTATTTAAAATCTAACCTACATTCAAAAGGAAAAAAATTAAAGGCTCAATAGGAATAGAATTGTAGTTCTTTTTAGATACTAGTCTATGCATAATCTATATAACCGATTAATCACTTTAATTATCAAAAGTGCAATGTTTCAGTATCCATGGTTTATGATTAGACGTGTGATTTATTGTCCTTCTAACCGAAAAGAAACATCTTTAAAGATATAAAGTATATACACCTAATTTGAAAAAAAATCTCTTGTAGATTTTTATTCTCTGAGACCTCATTTGAATGTGCTAGTTTAGACATCATTTCATTTTAGCAATTGAGTAGGTAAAATGTCTCGATTTAGGACTATTTAAGTAAAACCATAAGTCATTTTTACAGATAAACAGTTGTACTCTATTAAAAAAAGGAAAGTCTAAAGTTGTACATTCAAGATGGTTAACCTAAATGCAACATTGGTGTGATTCGTAAACAGAGTTGCTAGGGAAACCTCCTTGCTCTATAAATACTGTCAATAAAATATCACATTGTTGTAAAGATCTCAAAGAAAATAAGCAAGTCACTTTGACGGAAGCAGCAAAGCTAAAACCATGACAAACTTTAACTTTTAAATTGTTTGGAAATGTTTAAATTCGCAATAGCTATTTTCGAAAAATTTGAATGCTAGAGATAGTGTGTGTGTGCTTAAATACCATAATGCATCGTTTCTTCACCGTGAAAAGAAATTAGTTCAGCTTTGTCTGCGTAAATATGCTGGGAACTCTTGAACACGTGAATATAATGACACATCACCAATAGTACCTTGGTGAACCGGCATTCAATGCTGTCGCATTGAATATATATCAGAACGGATGGTATCAAATATCCATATTAGTAATATGCATCCATCTGTCGGCTTCAAGTTCCAATTCAACAATATCTCCATTCATATTGCACAAAGGGAGTACGTTTCTTTTGAGCTTGTAAAGGATGCCGGTTCATTATGGCTTTTTCACATTTAAAGGTTGTATATTAMAGGAAATCCAGCCTGTATAAAGGCTAAATGTATGAAGCGGGCTTTACTGCTTTCCAGGCTAATGTTTTTTGTTTTTTGCTTTTTGCCGCCTAGGGGAAAGAGAGCAAGAAAACTATCGGAACAGCCAGACTCAAATTTTCAGTCCCTTAGAACCATTTTTTTTTTTCTCTTTGATTTTCTTTATTGTATAGAATGGATACCAAAACTCTACCAGCTCACSCATCACTAAACCGGCATTGCCTATGCCATTATGCATAGTCAATGCATCACGTTATCAGTGTTATATTTTAAATTGGATTTATTAAGGTTTTTAGTGGTGTTATGTTTCACATATTTGTAAAGCTAAATAAATATTATAAAGCAAATAATCTTTAAAGAGTGTAGATGCAATATCTCGAAGTAAACAATTCTGACTAATTTTATTATAAATTAGTTTCAGTTCAGAATAATTTCACTTCTTCAATCAAGGGTAAAAATATTTTTCGTTCATGTCGGTTGTCAATGACTACTAGCATATACACCTCAGAATCTATATATCTTAAATCAAAATAACTGCAAAAATATGTGATGTCTATCAAGAATTGTCTAGTACAGTGTCTATAACAGCTGCTTGGAACATACGTACGACGATATTGTARAAACATTTCAGACAAACAACTGGTACAGTGGTACACTAATGGTATAGAGACCTTGAAGGCATCCCTTAAGAGCTTTTGATTATATTTGAAAATAAACAATCATATAATTATCCATGAAATACGTACCTATATTTCTCCATTTCGTAAAATTGATATTTTCACTAGTGAAAATACACATTCGAGGTTTCTCTATCATAMTGGAAATTAGAAAAAAGGTATAAAAGGTATTTTACGACATAATTTACTTTCACATGTAATTAATATGATAAACAGAATATTACATGGTCGCTTGGAGACACGATTTTATCTTTTTCGCTACTCTCACTCGTGAAAGATCTTTTCAACACTCGAAGATAAAAACCGTATCTCCGCGCGCCCATGTAATATCCTCTATACATCGGAATATAAACAAATACACTTTATTATCTCTTTATGATAAGTGTATAGAGATTTTGCAAATTTTGATTTTAATCCGAAGATTGGAAACGGACTGCAAATGGGAAATACCTCAGTTTTTTACCTCATAAGGGGAACAAGGATTGCCGAAGGGGAGCAAGGATGGCCGAGCGGTTAAAACGCCGGTCTATCACCGCTGTGGTCATGGTTCGATTCCAGGTCCGGGACTATATGTGATTTGAGTTTGTAGGGTGGTTCTCTTCCTTGCTCCGAGGGTTTTTCTCCAGGTCCGCTGGTTTTCCTCCCTCAGTCAAAAACTAGGTGTGAGGAGTGTCGTGTAGTAAAATAATGGATGTTGAGGTAGTGAGTTTGAGTGAATATATAGAGGGCCACAAGTTTATTAGTCTAGAGGCTATTACGTGCTACCCTCTCAAAATAAAAGACTTTATTTATTTATTTTTTTATTTATTTATTTTCCATATCTTAAAATTCTAAAGCACGACTTTATTGAACGCCCGCTGACCCTGGTCCTTTAAAGAGGTAATCTCAAATACAAATTATGTTTATAAGAGCAGTTAATTTATTGTTTTTACAACAATACAATTGTTAAGAAAGAAAAACTTAATTTGCGAGTCTGTTGATCCACTAACTATAAACYGTTTTGTCGATAGAGAAAAATTGATAACCACGATTAGGGAATATAGGATATCTTCGAATTCTTTACTTGGTTGTATCGTCAAACTGTTCGGAAACAACAGATGGTTGTTGCAATTTCTTGAGTAACACTGACCTCTTTGCTGTTGAGAAGAAAGACAGACATATTCAATAGGCAACATAGGCATATATTTGCGAGACTTTTAGTGGGCTATTCTTAAATTTATTGTTTCCAGTTCAAAATCCGAACAAGTATAAGCCTTAGGCCTTATTATTGTATGGTTGTTTACTAGAGCGGATTTCGTATGAGTSGGAAACTGACGGTAATGTACTTTGACCGTAATCGTACTGTAACCAAATTCTAGTGCCCCATTGGTTCACCAAAATATTGTAGSCCAGGTCCGGTAACTGTGCGGTAACCGTGCGGTAACGGTGTCCCACTCATACGAAATCCGCTCTATGGTAACATACTCAATGACAACATTGCATTTAGGGGGCGAGAGGGAATAAAATTGTTTGCAGATGTTGCAGATGATTTACAGGCTTTAAAGCGCGCGATTTTTTGCAGTGATATTCCATGAAATTACATTAGGTATCATTTGACATTGAAATTTAGAATTTTGCAATCGTGAATAAAGAAACGAAAAAAAACAAGATGAACATTCAGACTTCAAAATAAAAAGCCAAAAACAGAAACAAAACAAAGCAAAACTAAAAACAAAATGGAAATATAATGATAATTTGCTTAGAATTAAATGAGCATTAAAGGAACTTGATTTGTGCGGCTAGCCGGAATAACTGGATAAAAAAGAAGCGAAAGCCAAATCTAAACAGACATTAAATAGACATTAAAACGGAAAAAAATGTTGGTTTAAAACAACAAAGACTTACTTTTAGTAATTAATAAAAAATGCGGTAAAAAAACAACAACAGCAACAACAACAAACATGAACAAACAAGGAAGCAATTGATGTATATCAAATTGTGTACATAGTACACTTGTGCGAAAAAATCCCAATCAGTTGTAAAAAATCACAACCTTGACACATGTAGAGTTTTTTAAATGGTGGAAAAGCAAACATATTAAATTAAAAAAAAAAAGAAAATTCTAAAGATTTCTGTGTATCAGTCAAAGGGTGCCTGTCATAACATGAAATACCTACCGCATTTTCGTCTATACCAGGCTAAACATGTCCTTTTCCGGGACGTCCGTGCGGATTGTTCTTGATTATCAGAAAGCTGCATTAATGCTCTTTCTCCTGTCATATCGTTTTTCCATCTTTCTGCTGGAATATCTCTTGCCAAAATCAAGGAAAACAGACAAACTAATARAAATGAAGCAAAAGTCTTCATCGTTCTGTCTTTGCTTCTCAACTAGTAAACTAAACTAGCCCAGCGGCTTTTATTTTATAACCAAACAATTGATCTAGTAAGAAATATAACAATTTCTTTCTTTCACTAACACATGTCTTATGAAATAKTGCAAATTAACACCAAAATCYGACTGCTATAAATACACTAATTGCGCGTGGTTTTGAATTAACCGTTGACTTGTAAAAAAGCCGTTGTATTGAACATGGGACAACGCCAGTGGGAAGARGAGAATACAATGACCATATGCAGACATACTGTCATCTCGTCTGCAGGGCGATTYGTTGAAATATGGCTGTTATATGTTCTGTAGYGAYAGCTAAKAGCATTGTCGATTTAATRAAATTTTGATCAAATCATGATCACGGTGACTAAAAAAAACGCACAGTTTGAGATGACGACTTTTTTKAAACCTGTAAAAGTAACATGATCTACCAGACTTTTATAGAACCTCCGCTTACTAAGAAAAGCTTTTCATCTATAAAAAGACTACAGACCACCTAGGGAAAGCTTTTCATCGAGAAAATGATGACTTTTCCATCATTATGGACAACAACTTTCCGTTAGCAGACTCAGTGATTCATTTTTAAACTTGAAGATTTACTTCAGAAATTCAGAAGGATAATCACACCTTTTAAGTRAACTGTTTTAAAAATCATGTAAAATGATTACTAAATGTGCAGTAAGCTCATTTTATTTGCCATTGATCGATCTCCATACCGTTTCTTTTCAATGTGGCCCAAGGGGCGTAGTGTTTATCTTTCTTACAAGTGCTGCGCACCTGACCGCGTTATCAAACGTATTGGTAACAGTATGTCTAGGCATATTACTTCGCTTTCTTTACGCGTATTTGATATATTTTTACATAAAAAGMGATCATAGCTTTTAAAGAGCCTTTTCGGAAATGTCAACTTTCAGAAGACGACCAGAAACGTTTTTCACTTTCGGCTGCTTTGTGTTAAAGATAGGTCTATAAATGACATTATTTGCTCTTAACCTACCAAATCGAGTCGTAAGTGATAATAGGCCCTAAATATCATTTAACGTCGAGCTAAGCTCGTCCATTCAATTCAAAAGCTATATCAGTGTATAAAAGGGCCAGATATAATCCTGAAAAAYATGATTATTACGGCTATTTCAGTCTTGAGAGGTTCATTAAAATAACGTTTATAAACTTGCAAAAGGCAAAAAATAAGCTCTTAAATTCAGCAACCATGTAACATTCTGTTTTTCATATAATTATATATGAAAGAAAATTATTATACTTCCTATACTATAAAAAAAACTTGAATTTCCAATAGTGAAATTAAAAACTTTTTGAAAGAGAGAAATCAGATAGATGTTTCATAGATAGTTATATAATCAACTATTTTATTCAGCAACGGCCTGTGCAAATTCAAGAGATAAATATCTAATATATAGAAACAGTGAAAATCTCGCTCGTTTTTTCTAGATTTCTGCATATTTTACAATCAATTGAGGCTAACATAGTGTAAAAGAGAATGCGAATTTTTCTCTTTATTTAGGTCTGTTGGTCCAACCAACATTTACAATCTGTTTTTTAGAGTCAGTCCACGAAGGTTCAATGGTGCAGTTATACCCGGTCAAGTTATTCACGACGTAGGGGTAGTATGATCATCCGGGAGCGAGAAGTCTTTGAAAAGAACGTTATTACGACCTGACATTTTGACATCTCGCGTAGAAGTCATCTTCAGACTCTGAAGGAAGTCATCTTCTCATTCTGAAGGAAGTCATCTTCAAACTCTGAAGGAAGTCATCTTCAAACTCTGAAGGAAGTCATCTTCAAACTCTGAAGGAAGTCATCTTCAAACTCTGAAGGAAGTCATCTTCAAACTCTGAAGGAAGTCATCTTCAAACTCTGAAGGAAGTCATCTTCAAACTCTGAAGGAAGTCATCTTCAAACTCTGAAGGAAGTCATCTTCTCACTTTGAAAAATATCTTTTTACGCGAATTTTTACTAAGTTTAAATAGTTGGTAACCACGAAGGAAATCAAAGAACTCCACTTTCACTACAGCAATTGTACAATGATAATGATTTATTTATTATAATATAATAATTTATAATAATTTATCTTTTCTTGAAGGAAGTTCTGTTGCTTGCAGCATTCCCTCGATCTGTCGATAGTAGGTTCTTGTCACGGTAAATGCATCTCTTTTTTAGAATTATTACTTGTATCTTCATAATTCAGAATTCTCATGAAAATGAAATTTGACGTCATTATGTCAAAAGCCACTTTGCGATAATTATCTCATATCATCTAATACAGAAAAGGGCGATTAGCGAGAATGTTTTTTCGAGAATCGGCAAACCGGTCAGAACCAATAGATGGCTGATCAATTCTCTTGCGTAGTAGTTCCCGATCTGTTAAGAAGAGAGAGAAATATTAAGTATAAACATAAAATTAATTTTTGATATATAGCCCCACCGTGTTTATATCAGAGAACAGAGCCTGGGGAGGGGGGGGGGGGGGGGGTACTCCCATATATTTGCTACACGGGGACGTGCCGCTGGCCAGGGTATGGTTTTTGGCCTTGCTGTCTTAAACAGGGTATACATTTCACCCGAAATTGTCTGAAACTGGCTCTACAATTAAGATAAAAGACCGATATAATTTTTTTTTGTGTCTTGGAAAGGCTAATATTTTCATAAGAAATACCGTAGAATAAGTAGAAATACCGTTTCACTGTAGCAGGATTAACGTGTTATCAAAAACTTCTTATTGTCTCTAACCCTAACCCTAACCCTAACCCTGTCCTCTGATATAAACACGGTGGGAGTTGAAAAGCACTCGAGAAGCAAGAGAAAAACTCGCTTCTCTCGTGTTTGTCAACTTCCACCGTGTTCATTTCAAAGGAGAGAGACACGCGCACCGTTTTATTGTCTTTTAAGACTACTTTATTAAAATAAAGTACCTATATTTCTCCATTACGTAAAGTTGTTATTTTGTGGTATCTCTAGATATTGGAGGTGAATAAAAGCTATTTTAAAACATATTCATTGAT